ATACCACAGGCCTGATAAGGGATCAATTAAAAGTTGCAAAGCACACTAATCAGAAAATGGCGGGGAGCATTTCTGTCTCAACATTTCTGTGTTTCAACAAGGTACAGTAGTACAGAAGTAAGAATGTGGCATGTGAGACACAGACCTAAACCTACTGCTACTGGAACACATTCATTTAATTGACAGTTTCTGTCTATGATTCAGGTTTCAGGAACTGAGCAAAGCAAAACTACTGGACAAATAGACTGCAATCAATCTCAGTTTACCTATGAACTGCTCACATAATAAATGTGTAAAAAAACTGCACTGCGCCGTCCACAACTCATGCCTTTCCGGGGCCGTTGAGGTCATGGCTATAGAAGTGGAAGTGCGAAGGCAGTGATGCATTGGCCAAGCAAAGATGCATTGGCCAAGAGTTGACTTTGTAGCAGTGGGTTTATCAGGCTGAACATGAAACTTGCGAGTCCTCACGTTTTCCTACATGCCTGAATATCAACGCACACAGAATGCCATGTTATCAGTTAAAAAGAGGAACCAGAAAATCTGGTTGGTGGTTAGTTGGTGCAGTGGCCTCCATGCAATGCAAGGTCTGTCAGATGCAACAATGTGAACAAGTTGTGATTATGAACATGCTCTAAGACAGAGTGGGAAACAGCTGAACTAAACAACTGCTTTAGTTTGAATGTGCAAAAGAATGGACTTCCAGCAGGCGCAAAAATAAAGTACAGAGGGGAGCAGTGTCTCCAGCTCTAAGACCGTCCAGGTGTTTCCACTCTTTCCACGCCCCCATCCCTAATGCAGAGGGATTCGGCAAGGCTTTCTCCCAGGGCCTGCAGCTCACCAGCCTGGCAGCTCTGTCTGGCTGTAATCCTGGAGCTTTTCCAGTGGCAGAGTAGGCCGGGGGCCAGTCGAGAGATTGGGCTTGAGCCTTCTCCGTGCCCTTGGCGGATACTCTGTGAGAAACCAGCTGCGCTCCTCCGAGAATTATGTAACATGCATTTCGGCCACTCATAGCCGACAGAAAATGGGAGCGTCTTCAGCTGGACTGAGCTCAACGCAGTCAGTGGAGAAATAAAGTCTGGGATGAAATGTAAAGCAGGCCGCTGCCTAGGCCTTCACCCACAGCGGGGGAGTTGGAGTAGAGTGGGCTGGGGAAGTTGAGGGGGCTGCTGTGAGACGGACAGGGGCTTTACAAGGCTTCAGAAACACAGAAACGTAGCCTCCATCAGAACTCCATCTGAATTCATTTTTAATGGTATTGGGTGCTCTCACACACACTCCCCCCTGCTGCCGCTGTTCCGAAAGTTACTGGGCTGTGAAATGTGAAAAACTGCAGCACAGAATATGCATGCAGTGTGATTCATTATCTTGTCAAACTTGGCTACTCTGGGACAGGCAAGCTCCCTGGATGAGAGCCGGCGTTGCCGTCACCTCGGATGGCTGCCTGCGGCCTTTCTCTCGGGGTTACACGACCCTGGTCTGAGACGGCCGTTATACTGACTGCAACGTGGCTCTCTGGCTTAGGCATCTGACCTGCACAGCTGCAGTATTGGAAAGCTTTCTCTGGAGGTTTCTCTGAAGGGTTCATGCTTGGACATACCAAAACCCCCTCAGCCAGATCAGGTCCCTGTGAGGCACACCTACGAAAGGTGTTAATGGAACAGGCGGTCAAACCAGAGCAGCGACTAACTTTCAAGTCTATCACCATAATCTTTCTGGGATTTTCAGGACAAATGTGTCTGCTAGCTTTCGATAGTCACTTCTTGTCACATGGGCTCTGATTCTGAGCTTAAAATAATACTCTCTGAAACAAAAGCAGAGAGGGAGGATATTTCAAATTCCTGGCTATCCCAAAATAGACACTTTCTAAGCAGAAACACGGGGAATAAAAAACAACAAGGCAAATTTGAGAGACAGGTCTGCCAGGCATGGTAGACAAAGAGGCACAGAATGACCCATTTTCACAGCGGCCAGCGAAGAGAAAAAAAAAAAAGGTCAGTCGTCTGAGGAAAACAAACTAACACTTGCACGTGGAGCCCTGGATCATAGGGGACAGATGGACAGACACTAACAAACACTCCCCTCCCCTTCAGACACCCACCCACAATCAGTCTCTCAGGTGATCTTTGCTAATTGGCTCGGCTACCTCACTCGCTTCTAATGGTGTTGTTTACCACCACAGACTGATTCCCCAGGCTTCTCCACCTGCTCCGACCGCCTCTAGCATGGAGCTGAGAGAGCCTCTCTGGGTGGTGCTACTGGGGAGGGGAATGAGAGACAACAGGGGCCCCCTTGTTGCACAAACAGCCGCTCTCTGAATTAACCTTCTTCGTGGGTCACTGCCGAAATAATCCCTCCCTTCTCTGTGAAAAAAAAAAATGTCGGCATGCTGTAATTACACCAAACCGTGTCTTTCGCTGCCTCTTCCCTTTGCTCTTCTCCTGGCAATGAGAGATGGTGTCTTTGTTCAAAGAAGAGGGGGGGTGGATGGAGGGGCAGTGCCAGCAGGCCAGAGAGAACTTCATCACAGCTGGGTGACGAAACCCTCCTGATCTCCCGGTGCTTCGTCCTGCTTTCTTTCTCCCTTCCACACAGCCCAGCCCAGCCCTGGCCCCAGCCGGAACACTGAAACTCAATTCGCCCATATCGCGTCCATTAAGGTCTGATTCATGCGCCGCTCGCTCAGGGCCGAGAGTGCCCATCCATCTTGTCCCCAGGATGAAGGGTGCTGTTTCCCTTCCTCGGGCAGATCTGGGGCTACACTATCAAACCATCGCTGCCAGTAAAAGCATCAGACTTTTAACAGCGCTGCCGTTCAACAGCCACCCTCTTTTATTTACTTGTCAGCTGGCAAGGCCCTGCTTTCCTCCCCTTCATACTCTCTCGCTATTAAATAGGACTTTTACTGTTTGCACTTCCCAAAACATTCTTCTCGCTCTAAAACCTGAACAGAGGACCTCCCAACAGTAAGAAAGCATGTCAACAGAGACGAGTGCAGGGTCACAGCTGAATGTTTTCTTATCAGGCATCGCAAGGCCGATCCACTATATACTGCTCAGGCTTTGTGAAGGTAAAAACACTCTTCTGCTTGCTTTCCTATGCTGTGGTGGTGTAAAATATAGGGCAAACTTGATAATCAATAAGATTTTATCTGTAACTAACCTGTACTATCACATCGTCCAAAAAAAAAACAGGTAATCAAAAGGACTATCTGTGGTATAACACACACACCAGTGATGGCCTTCTGTTCAAACGGATGCAAAGCAGCAGGCAAAAACTGTGATCCCATGTGTGCTTGCGCAGCTAATTGACTTCACCACATGCACACATACGCCACAACCTATTGTCTCATTACGGCCTCTATCGTTTGATATGTCAAAGATGTGAGGTGATGCAGACCAGGTCCGGTCTGGCTAATTACTAGGGGTGCCACAATACACTCAGCCCATGATTTCATCCAAATCACGATACTGGGTTCACAAATTCTTACAATATTTGCAACAAATGAAGAAAAAGGACTATAATCGTGTTGTTGCCCAACTTACTAATGACACTACAGCTGGGAGGCAGGGGGGTTGCTGGAGTGAGCTGGTGATTGGTGCTGATCATTAGCCAACTTTGGTCATTTGCCATGAAACAATGCACTTGCAATTAATCGCATTGGGCATTGCATTGTTTACCACTGCAATATCACAATGTCATGATGCCAAAAATTGATCCCTGACAAGACAACAACCAGGATGCAGCACAGATTTCGAATGTATCTGGCGTTTCTCCCACAGCTTGAGCACGTGCGCGTGTGTATTCAGCTCCTTATGGAGACCACCACGTCCTCAGGATGATGTTCAGCTGAGGAAAAATGTTTTTTCCACCCCCCAAAAATCCATAAAAGGTCCAAAAAGACTTTGAGGTTAAGGTGTAGGGGGTGGTTCGGTGTAGCACAGCAATATTTACATACAGAAGCACATGGAACATCCCACAAACGCAGGAATACAAGCGCGCGTGTGAGCCCCAACCCTAAAGCGCAGCGCTACGAAAATTGACTCGAGACAATTTATCCGTCTCCGAAAACCTGCCAAGCAGTTTCAAATGCATCGCACGTAACGGAGCAGAGCTTGAAGCGCATGGCGCGTGCTAATAAAATAGGAGCGAGCTTGTCAGGGACGCCAACTCCAGCCGAGCGCGTGCCACCGCGCGTGCTTTACGTTGCCAGTGAGCGAGTGAGGGACTCAGTGAATGAATGAACCGCGTGCAGCACGAGCCCCCTTTTTTTTAAATCGCAGTTTCGCAGCTAACGCGCGGTTTGTGATGTTTTGCAGCCCAAGCAGTGGTCATTTGACCACAACTACCCCCCCCCTCCTCCTCCTCCTCCTCCTCCTGCTCTTCTCTTTACTCCTGCAGGAGATAGCTAAGGCTAATGCATTATGCATTAGGAGCGGGAGCTGCTCCTCATACCGACGGGGGCTGAAAAACAACCAAGCAGGGCTGACAGCTGCAGATACATTATTTAATGACGAGTCTCTCGTTATTAGTCAAGCGCGCGCCTGAATTAGCCAAGCCAGGCGACACGCGCACGTAGAAAAACAGAAAGCCAGGCGTCGATTTGGCGACAGAGCAGCCAATATTAGCCTCCCACCAAAAACCAAACGAACGGGCCAACTAAAAGCGCGAGCAAACACGTTAAAAAACACCACCAGCATCCTAAACCCAGTGCTGACCATCTAGATCAGTGGTCACCAAGCCTGTTCCTGGAGGTCCTTCCTGCACTTAACTTCTCCAGAGATCCACAATGGGCTGGACCGGACTGTGTTAAGTGGGCACGTTAAACGCAGGTTGGAACTCATCTCTGCAGGACAGCAGGGTTAGTGACCGCCGGCCTAGACGGAGGCGCGTGGTTTCTTTACGCACGTTCACTTCAGTTCACTTTCCGCGCACTTCGCTTCCCAAGACGAACAAACAAATAAACAAATACACCGAAACAGCCAGCAAAGCGAGCTCACCTGCTGCCAGTTCTCCTCCAGCGACGGGAGCGCCGAGAAGTAGCCGGTGTCGTGCACGAGCTGAAGTTCCTGAAAGATACTGTAATTCGCCAACACGTCCATCCTGAAGCTCGCAAATCAGATTGTTTTCTTTTTTTTTTTGTAGTTATTGTTGCTGGTGATCCTCAACGCGAGCGCAAGAATGTAAAAAAAAGACCCCAACAAGAATAAAAAAACAGTGAGAATAAACAATAACAACTCTTCAGATCCGATCCTGGAAGTGCGGCGGTGATGCAGAGGCGAAAAAGGAGAAAAGAAGGCGCAGATGAGCGACAAGAAGGTGGGAGGTGGGGGGAAAAAAAGGAGATGTAGTTTCAAATTTAGTCTCACTTTTATTGCAATCCCGCGCTCAGCCCGAGAGTGGGATGCAAAAGAGTGGCGAGGAGAAGCGGCCACCTAGATCCTCATCTCCGGCTGCTTCGCTCTCTCTCTCTCTCTCTCTCTCGCTCTCTCTCTCTCGCTCTCTCTCTCTGTAAATCCAGGTATAGTCTCTCTGCTGAGCTCCAGCAGATCGAGTCGGTGTGGATTGGAGAAGGGGGGCGGGGGGCTGAGGGGACTCTCAGGGGGTGGGTGGAGCGTTGAGTGGGGTTTGTGGGCGTGGCCAGCTGCCAGTCAATTCCGTGCGTGACCATATAAGGCAAATAGGGCTGATGATCTCACTGGCGTCCAATTAAGGCGGCGCTAAAGCGGCCCGGTGGGCGGGGCCAGGGGCCGCGATTGGCTGCGCGCGCCTGTCAGTCCGGCCGTAGATGGCAGTGAAAGGTGAGCTATTTTTAGAGAGGTATATAACAGCCTCGGCACGCTGGACTCGGACACACGGGCTGAGAGAAGGCGAGGAGGAGGAGAGGGAAAGCTGTTTCTCCTGTTATGGTCATTATTAAGAAAGATATTTCTAATTGAGGCTCTGTCGTTGTGCTGCATGGACAGTAAAGTTGGGAAAAAGAGGTGAAGACGTTCGTCTTGCAGTTGAATGTCGTTAAAGCACCGACATCAGACTGAGCATGCGAAAGAAAAGGCACCACAGCTTAATGGTAGCAGCCAATGGACCGTAGTGATGGTGGGGATGGAGCTGGCTCTCCCAGCATGTATAGCTTCATTAACTCATGTTACATAATTGGTCATATTGATTCGTCACATTGATCCGGTTATTGGTTTGTAATGGACAATTCCAAACCGACGACACCCATAGGCCACGATAAAGTTGAGGATCAATATGTGCTAAACTTTAATGACTTTGCACCAACCTTTAGGCCACAATGAGGAATTTATGAAGGTTTAAAAAACATGAGTGTAGCTTTTGTGTGTTTTTTTGGTGGCACTTTATTTGAAGGCCACCTATTTTTGTTCAATAGAATCATGCTTGTATTTTAACTCTTCAAGCAATGCAGCACTACTCCTTCTTTTCAAATGTCAAGTACAGAATGGAAAGAAAAGAGTTCAATTCTTGAAACGCCAAGCAGAAAATTGGCCAATCAGGAATTGCTTTTCTCTGTGGTGTGTAGGCAGATGTAGCTAAGAGAGCCCTCCTGTTGGTGAGGACTTCAGGAGCTGAAGAGAAGGCCTAACATGTTGCAGACTATCAGCATCAATGTAAAGTGACAGGAATCAACCAATCACGTTTTGATTTCCAATGGGCAGAAACAATTTGTAGGTGTTTAGGCCACAATAAAGCTGAGAATCAGTCTATCCTTAATATTAAATAGTGACTTTTCACAAACCCCAAGGCCATAATGAGACATCCGACACCCACAGGCCACGAGGAAGTTAAGAATCAATATAAGCTAAACTTTAATGACTTTGCACAAATGTTAAGACCATAATGAGGAATTTATGAAGGCTTAGACAAATAAATAATTAAATTACATATAATTGTAGCTTTTGTGTGTTTTTTTTTGGGGGGCGGGGCACTTTATTTGAAGGGCACCTACCTAAAGGTCTAATGATTCCTGAGAACTAAAAATGCCTGCCTGTAATTTTTAGTTCATTTTTATTCAATTCTTGAAACACCAAGCAGAAAATTGTCCAATCAGGAATTGCTTTTCTCTGTGGTTTCTAGGTAGATGTAACTAATTGGTGAGGACTTCAGGAGCTGAAGAGAAGGCCTAACATGTTACAGACTATCAGCCTCATTGTGAAGGGACAGGAATCAACCAATCACATTTTGATTTCCAATGAGCAGAACCAATGTGTAGCTATTTAGGCCACAATAAAGCAAAGAAACAATATGTCATAAATATCATTCATGACTTTTCACAAACCCTAAGGCCATAACGAGATATCCAACACCCATAGTCCACGATGAAGTTGAGGATTAATACATGCTAAACTTTAATGACTTTGCACAAACTTTAAGGCCATAAAGAGGAATTTATGAAGATTTAAACAAACAAACAAACAAAAAATAACATGAGTGTAGCTTTTGTGTGTTTTTTGGGAAAACATTATTTGAAGGCCACCTACTTAATAGTCTAATGATTTTTGAGAGCTAAAAATGTATGTCTGTAATTTTTAGTTCATTTTTATTCAATAGAATTATGCTTGTATTTTAGGTCTGCAAGCAATGCAGCACTACTCTTGTTTCAGTGTGAAGTACAGAATGGAAAGAAAAGGGTTCAATTCTTGAAACGCTGGGTGGAAAATTGGCCAATCAGAATTGCTTTTCTCTGTGGTATCTAGGTAGATGTAACTATTTGATGAGGACCTCAGGAGCTGAAGAGAAGGCTACAAACTATCGGCATCATTGTGAAGTGACAGGAATCAACCGATCACATTTTGATTTCCATTGGGCAGAAGCAGTTTGTAGGTATTTAGGCCACAATAAAGCTGACAAACAAAATATCATAAATATTATTAATGACTTTTCACAAACCCTAAGGCCATAATGAGATATCCAACACCCACAGGCCACGAGGAAGTTGAAAATCAATATATGCTGAACTTTAATGACTTTGCACAAACCTTAAGGCCGTAAAGAGGAATTTATTTAAACAAACAAAACACACACACAAACACACACACACACACACACACACACACACACACACACACACACACACACACACACACAAACAAGTATAGCGTTTGTGGGTTTTTTGGCACCACTTTATTTGAAGGCCACCTACCTAATAGTCTAATGATTCTAAAAATCCATGTCTGTAATTTTTAGTTAATTTGTATTCAATAGAATTATGCTTGTATTTTAGGTCTGCCTGCAATGCAGCACTGCCCTTGTTTCATTGTTAAGTACAGAATGGAAAGAAAAGGGTTCAATTCTTGAAACGCTGGGTGGAAAATTGGCCAATCAGGAATTGCTTTTCTCTGTGGTATCTAGGTAGATGTAGCTAATTGATGAGGACTTCAGGAGCTGAAGAGAAGTCCTAACATCACTACTTGATTTCCATTGGGCAGAACCAATTTGTAGTTATTTAGGCCACAATAAAGCTGAGAATCAACACATCCTAAAGATCGGCTATGGAATATTTTACCGTTAGAAATCAAAACACAAAGTGAGCTTAAAGTTTTTAATGTAAAAGTGAAACATTGGATTAAAACAGAAACAAACTTGGAACATTTTGCAAGTTTTAGTTGATATACAGCCATAAGGATGCATTCATCACAAATGTAATCATACAAACAGGTATGCATATTGCATATATGTATATTTGCTGTAATTTTTACCTACGTATTGTAGGTATTTAGGCCACAATAAAGCTGAGAATCAACACATCCTAAAGATCATTAATGACTTTTCACAAACCCTAAGGCCATAATGAGATATCTGACACCCATATACGTTGTGCTATAAACTTTTTTTCCTTTTTATTTTTATTTATTTATTGATTTATTTTAGTATTTTTTTTTTTCATTTATACTTTTAAAGGCCTAACCAGGGACTGGGGCTGCAAATTAGCTTAAGCTAGATGCCCTATATACATTACATGTGTTGCATTCTATGTGACAATCTGTATTGTCCCTGTCACATAAATACAAATCAAATAAAATGAAAAAAAAAAATCTTTAATGACTTTTTACAAACCCTAAGGCCGAAATGAGACATTTATGGAAGTTAAAAAGAAAAAAATCATACAAGCATACAGCCATAACTTTTATTTTTGGAACATTTCACATTGCAGATGCCTATTTCACCCAGTACAACTGTCATACCTCATCACATCAGAAATAAGGTTTTAGAGTCCAGTGTTTACAAAAAAATCGGTATGTGTTGAACTCCTTGTCAAGATATGTTGCTTACTGCAGAAAAACTTGACAAAGTGGCTTTCCCACCCGCATGCCTGCATGATTATATAGGCCAGTCATATATACACAGTGAGTTGCCACATATCTCTCTTCAATCTGACTAACAGATACAGACATTCAGTAAAACTAGGCCAAGCACTCTCTCTTTTTTTCAAAATGACCACTCTAAACTCTGCAACCTCTCACAACAATGTGCATTCTTTGGGTTCAGAAGTAAGTTGTGTGTGCTTGTGTCTCCCATCATTACTTCGGACCCCCAGAAAGAAGCTTCTGTTTAATGTCAATTAACAGTATAGGGCAAAATCATTAATATTGTCTATGGGTGGTGCAAGTAGGAAAACATCTGTCGTTTAATTAGCCTACAGATTTGATCAGCGAAGGAAATGTTACATTCAATCACTTCCATGACAGTTTCTAATTGCCCAACCTTAAAGGAGAATTGCATTGATTTTTCAGAATTTCTGCATAATTCAATTTGCTGAGATGTAAACAAAGTAATTCAGAGTGATTTGATGCTAAATGGTGCGCTGTAGGGAAACTCAGATTTGGTGGTGATAGGAGCCAGGGGTCACGAATATGACCAGTGACCCTTCCGAGTTTGTATACACTGTTATTGTCTAGTTTTCACAAAATGTAACCCAAAATGTCCAAAGTAAAATACTGTATTCATCATTTTGTTGTGAAATCAACTCAGCTTAAGATATATTGCGTATAAGAGACTGACGTTGAGCTGTACTGCACAGCATTATGGCATATGACAGTGACTAAGAGTTAAAAACGTGTAAATATTTTAATAAAGACATTTTAACATAAATCAGGTTTTGGTGTTTTGAAATCTTTTACAACTCTTTTTTATTGTTTAAATGCTGGAGCACTGAGGTGTTGAGACAAATGTCATTTTTTTATTTGCATTGTCAGGTATTTTGTTAAGTTTTTGGTCATATTTTTGTAAATTCTAAGCAATTATAATAAGTTAAAATGTCTGTAAACTATGTATTTGCATTGTTTTTTTTAAATTAACATACTTACAGATCTGGAAAATTAAAAGTCCAGTTTTTTCATATGTAAATATACAGTAAACTACTGGATACTGCATTGCATTACTTTTACAGTCATACAAATACAGGAAATTACTGTATTTTAATTACAAATTATTACTGTAAGTGTACAGCAGACTACAGCTACAGTAATCTGTGGTCCCGTTGACTGTGAAGTAGCAGTGTAGAGTTGCTATTTTAGTGTAATTTGTTACTGCACTTGTTAATATGGTACTGCAAATTACTGAGAAAGTAATTTACCAGTATTT